TAGGGTGGATTTCGATAATCCTGGAGAGTGAAGTAGTCAGAGGTAGGATTTAAACCAGGAAAGAATGTCCCAGGATGCTGGCTTTTTGAAGGCACTCAGGAACTGTGAGAGCATCAGATAAGAGACGTGTGTATTCATGCATCTGCTGTATGGAAAGAAGAATTCCAGAAACGCTGTGACAATACATGTATCACTGGGGGAACACACAGAGTAACAAGGTAGAAATCCACTTGGTAAGTAGTTCCTTAAAATAGTATAGTGTCTACTTAGGGAATAAGAAAGAAAAGTTTGCTTTCTGAATAGGCAACTCTGCAAAGTAGTTTGGACTTAAGTGAAGAATTTGATAAACGGTACATCATCTAGTTCTTGACTCAAATGTACTGAACCTCAAGCTTCCAAGTTGGGGCAACCAAGGAGTCTGATTTTCTTTTGAATCTTGCAAAACCTATCCTCTAAGACAAAAAGGTCTCATCGTAAAGTCTATAAAAAGTCTCGGGTGTATAAAAGTACAGAAGTAGGAAAGTGGCGATATTGATGGCGACTCATGGCTTCCATAGAAAGTGTAGGAGGATCTCTGGTTTGCTTGATCGAGGTAGTGTCCAGGGTTGGAAGGCCATCGGTACCTAGGATGAATGCTACCGCTGACAGAAGCAGGGTAGGTAGGCGCTGTTATTGCATAATAATGCCACTATCTCTAATGGCCAATGACCCCTCATTCCTGAAAAAAATTAAAATGACCCTTTGGGAAATTTCTAATCTTGGCTTAGGCAAAGGAAAATGAAAACCCAATATTTTCTTGCTCAATTTTACAGTCTGAAGAGTTCCAAGGGAGTCTATTTTTGTAATGGTACAAAGCTGATAAAATTCTTCAATGTAACCTAACCCCTTTTTCATTAAATACTTCCCCTATAGTCTAGAAGAACATCCAAACGTTCATCGTGTGGATCAACAATGTAATAATAAAAGCTGTCTCTTCTATTCAGTAGCTCAAGCAGAAAGGTTTCTCTAACTTTAGTTTTCTTTTTTTTTTTTTTTTTTTTTTCTTACAAAACCCCACCACCACCTGCGTTTCACTCACGGAAATCGGCAAGATGGGGTAACTGTACATACATCTGCAGTGGATTTATATTTCTGCTTGATCTCAACATTTAAAACTGCCAGTGAAATAAAAGTCAAAACTAACCACATATATCCACTCACCGAACATAAAAACTGAAAAATGTCCAAGAAGTAGAACATTCAAAGCTCACAAGCATCTCTTCAGAGTCGTTTGCCTCCAGTGAGCACACTAAGGACAATCAAATGGTAAGGAAAGCCTAACCGCAGCGAAGAGGTGCTTCCAGCACACGTAGCTTTAAGAGGATGGTAATGCCCGTGCTCCGTCATCAACAGAGAGCAGTCCGTGGAAGTGGTAGACTAGAAAAGCATATGTAACCAGAAAGTTTTATGTGGTGACCTCCCTGCTCGCTACAAATAAAAATCAAATCACAAATACATGCGAAAACGAAGCCACATAACTTTCCACTGTTCATTTTAAATCCTCCATTCAAACTAAAAAAATGTAACTTGGTATGAGCACACCTGACTTCATATGAGAAAGCAGCAAGCAGCCTTTCCATAAGGCGAAGAAAGTTTATATTTGAATGATAAATCCACGAGGAAAGAACAGAAAATGGGAAAGAAAAAAAACAAAAACAGTGTCAACTCAAGAAAGTTCTTGGGACTTTTCCTCAAGTAAGTCTTGACCCTAGCAATGGTACAAGGCTTTCAGGACAGTAAAATTTAAGCACTGAAAAACAGCCTCCATTTGGTATCTGTGTAATGCTGAGATGTGGCCGCTGTCACCTTTAAGAAACGGATTTCGGTACAGAGAACGGCTGAGAACGCAAACTCCTCCGTTTTTTCCCCCATAAACAGAGAGCGAGGAGGAGTAAGTTTTTTTTTAACAAGCTCAGGTGCTGTACTGCGTGTAGGGAGCACACACCACGTACTGCAGCTTTTATTTGGTGAAGGACCCAGTCACGCCTCCAGCCCTGAGTCTGAGTCTCCAGCGCGTCCAACCCGATGTGCATGTATGTTTAAGGCTAGTCCTGCAGCTCTCCTGTTCGGAAGCATTCAAGTTGTGACTATTCTTAAATGCGTTTCATGACTCATGTAATATGCCACTGATGAAGAGTCGTTATATTTTGGGCCATTTTCCTGATATTCCTGATATATTGTGTGAGGGTGCTGATTTTAAAAATTTGCTTCTGTTAAGGGTTGTGGTGATTATTTGCTTAACACCGGCTTTCCTATGTAGCACACACTTTCTTATGGCTATATTCACTTGAATAGAGAAATCAAGGACCACTACCTGAATTTTCCAGTGTATAATTAGGGTACACCTCAGAGAACGGTTGCTTCAATGGTTTCAAGTATGGAATTCAGAGTTGCTGCCCTTTGCCGTATGTTTATTGAGAACAAAATAAGGTATAGCTAACGAACCAAGCTGCAGCTTCCATCTTCAGAAAAGAGTGATTTGAGCCGGGACCGGTTTGGCTCAGTGGATAGAGCGTCGGCCTGCGGACTGAAAGGTCCCGGGTTTGATTCCGGGCAAGGGCATGTACCTTGGTTGCGGGCACATCCCCAGTAGGAGGTGTGCAGGAGGCAGCTGATCGATGATTCTCTCTCATCGATGTTTCTAACTCTCTATTTCTCTCTTCCTCTCTGTGAAAAATCAATAAAATATATTTAAAAAAAAAAAAAAAAAAAAAGAGTGATTTGAGCATCACGGGCTTGGCGTGAGATAACGGTCTAAGGAAGGTGCGGACCCACAGCTTCCCCAGGGTTCCCCTGAGGCTGAGGGAGTGACAGGGGGCGGCAACCGAAGACAGAATAGTCAAGCTGGGAGTTAACTGTCCTTCTCCGGTGTTCATGGGACGTATACACATCTTTAAAGTAGCATTCTTTAGAAATTAGATCCAAAAGTGTGTTTTGAGATACTTTTCTGCCTCGTTCCAAAATTTGTCTATGCTCGTTATAGAAGTTGAAGGCAACAACCACAATGGGAATGTAGACATATGAAACCAAAAAGTGAGTGGAGAATGCAATATTTTTAAAACAGGGACTCAACCTCAGTGGAAAAAATACAACCTTCCCCCCTCAGAACTCATCAGCCAGAAAGGTGCTTAAAGTACGTCTGCTGATTTACTATTGAAAATAAATAAAAGCCGGGTTCTGACTCAGGCAGTGATTCACCAGCCGGAGGAAAAGAAAAACGAAGAAGTTTCAAGATGAACAAAACCCAGAGCACTCCCTCCGGCAGCACCCGGACTGAACCTGGCCGAAGAGGGCCCACTGCCTCCGCTCACAGACCACACGCACATTCAGGAAGCGCTCTGTTTTTAAATAAACAGACACATTTTTAAAAATCAAAAGAGGGAGAAAGAGAAAGGCAGGAGACCCAGCTTTGGAACTCAGTTCTCAGAGGTGAAAAGGGACAGAAGTTTAGCTGCATTCAATCAGGAGAAATGGGATCCATTAAGTACACTGATAGCCCTTCTGTGCAGCCTCGCCTGAGTGAGCTGCTGTTGGTTGTGCTCTTTCAAAGCTCTCCAACTTAGAAAAGCAACTGCCTCCCATCACCCGCACGCGGCATCACAGGCTGCAGAGCACCTGCGGGGACAGGCCCGGGTGATCTGTGCAGGACAGAGACCGGGCAAACCCCTGCACCGCCATGCCTGTGATGTTCGTGTGCTGTCCTGTCTTTTCCTAACGATTCCAGAAAAAGAAACGACCTCAAAATGAGAAATGCACCTCAAGCCTTCGTGCTGTCATTCCCCGGAGGCTGAACAAGAAGGTTCCACGGGAAGTGAGAAGCAGGCGTGCCTGGGAGGAGACCACCCCCACCGCTTCCTCCTCTGGACCGCGAGCAGCTTCCTCGGTTTTCAGAACAGGCCACTCCGGTGACTTCCTGTCCATTAACGCACCAGCGGAACCGCATGAAGCAGGAGGGCAGAGCGTGGCGGTGGCCCGGAGACAGAGCGTGAGGCAGAGGCTAGAAACTGCCCAGGCGCTCCGAAAGCAAAGCCTCATTCCCGCAGGGACGTGGCCCGGAGGCCCTGGGACACAGCTGGTCTCGGAAGCACCTTTGAGTTGTACGGATGTGAGGATAGTAACTTTGAGCTCTAGAAGTTATATGCATCTTTAAGAATCACATTTTGATGATTATAAATTTTTTTTTTCTATTTTACAACATAGGTCCAGCGACACTGAAAAAATTACACCGCTTATTGAAATACATTTCATTTTAGAAACAGACTACTAAAGAAGTCTATACAAAAACTCTAAAATAATTTCTGTAGTAAAATAAAGAGTGTTAGGAGAGCTACATGAAGGAGAAAATTCCCCTCTCTCTCTATAATGCTCGATATGCTGTGAAAACGTGGCCAGCTCCTCTGCAGCCAGCACCGAAAGCGGAAAAGAATTCATTACCATACACAGTGATACAATTAATGCTCTGGATTAATCTCACAGTCTTCCCGATTAGGACAAAGGACACCAGGCCTGGCCCCTCTTTGAGGAGAAGTCCGGATATAAAGGAAGCATACCTCATCAGCTGATATGAAATTATAAAATTCCACAGTCTGTGTGTTTGGATTTATAAAAGTCACCGGAAAATGCAAGCACGTCGGGCTTTCGTTTGGTGGTTTCCCTGGTTTGGACGACGGTCCCTCCGTGACTCCAGGTGTCCGTGTTCATGCCCTCGATGTGCGGGTTCACCCTGCTTCCCAGCTCCGTGTGGGCACACAGCGCGGAGCGCACCCGGGGCCGGACGCCCGGGGCCGGACACCCGGGGCCGGACACCCCGGGGCCCGACACCCGGGGCCGGACACCCGGGGACGGACACCCGGGGACGGACACCCCGGGGACGGACACCCGGGGACGGACGCCCGGGGACGGACACCCCGGGGCCGGACACTCCGGGGACGGACGCCCCGGAGACGGACACCCGGGGCGGGTCAGTGGTGCGGGGCCGCGCCGTTCTTGTCGGCCAGGTGCCGCAGGAAGGTGTCCTCGCCCTGGCCCGGGCCGCGGTGGTTCAGGGGCTCGCTCTTGAAGAGCGCGGGGGGCGGGGGCAGGTGCGGGACGGGCGGGATGGGCAGGTGGTGCGGGTGGTGGGGGTGAGGGTGCAGGTGCAGGTGCGAGAAGGGGTGCGGGACGGGCCGCGGGGGCAGCGCGCCGGCGGGGTTCATGTTGAGGGCGGGGGCCGGGGCGGCGGACGTGGTCACCGCGGAGGGCGCGGGGGCGGCCGTCAGGGGCACCTGCGCGGCCGGCGGCAGGGTCACGGGGCTGGTGACCCGGAAGCACTTCTCCTTGTGCGCCTTGAGCATGTTGGAGAAGCGGAAGCGCTGGCCGCACACGTCGCACGGGTAGGGCTTCTCGCCGGTGTGAGTCCTGCGGTGCCGCTTCATGTTGGGGCGGCTGGTGAAGCTCTTGCCACAGATTTCACAGATGAAGGGCTTCTCTCCTGAGGCGAAGAGGCAGAGCACGGTTAGCTCCTCGGCGGTAACTGTGCTGCTGTTCCTCAGATTAGGAAAGGAGACCACTCCTCTCCCAAAGGCATATGATATTCTAACAGTCCCGAAGTGGGGACTCCTCTGCAGGCGGCCCCTCACGCGGCCTCCGGCACATGTGGAGGGCACGCAGCAATCCTGGTGCCAGCCTGCCAAGTGACCCGAGATTTTACAATAAAAGTGTCCCCACCGTTCTGGAATGCCCCTGGGTATGCAGAGAGTGGAGGGTGGATGTCTTCCTGAACAGGACTGAGTTTTGGTAAAGCAAACCCAATCAAACTTTTAAGAGTACTGAGAGATGCCCTAATTGGTTTGCACAGTGGATAGAGCATCAGTCTGTGGACTGAAGGGTCCCAGGTTCGATTCCGGTCAAGGGCATGTGCCTCGGTTGCCGGCACATCCCCAGTAGGGGGTGTGCAGGAGGCAGCTGCTCGATGTTTCTAACTCTCCCTCTCCCTTCCTCTCTGTAAAAAAACAATAAAGATATTTAAAAAAAAAAAAAAAAAAGAATACTGAGAGGGTATTCTACTTAGAGCAGTCAGTATCTTCCAGCTTTTAAAGGTCCAGAACCCTTTCCTTAGGAGAAATAGACACAAAACAAGTTTTGTACTATTTCAGGAGACCTCTTGCCCCAAGGGAAGAACCCATTTTTTTGAAGGAACCTCAAGTTAAAAGGCACTAACAGGTAATCCTTTAAAAAACAGAGTTATGAAAGCCTAATCACTCAGCATTATAAAATATTTTATTTATTTTTTATAGAGAGGAAGAGAGAGGGATAGAGAGAAACATCGATGAGAGAGAATCATCAACCAGCTGCCTCTTGCACACCCCCTATTGGGAATGTGCCCGCAACCAAGGTACATGCCCTTGACCGGAATCGAACCCGGGACCTTTCAGTCCACAGGCCAACGCTCTATCCACTGAGCCAAACCGGTGCCGGCCCACTCAGCATTATAAATCTGCATTTTCCACTTGGCATGAACACTGGTGGTTATGGTTTGAAATACACAGCCTCCCAGGTGATCACCAACGAGTGCTGGAAACTGAGCGGACCTTCCCCAAGCAGCCTCACTCCTTACCAGTGTGCGTCTTCATGTGCTCGTCGAAGTACTGCTTCATGTTGAAGTCCTTGCCGCACCACTGGCACATGAACTGCTTGTGGCCGATGTGGATGCTCATGTGCGAGCGCAGCTGGTACTTGTACTGGAACCGCTCGTCACAGTTCTGCACGGGACACGGAGATGTCTGAGCCGAGCACAGCAGCTCTCCCGCCTGAGCCCACCCTGCCCTCTCCGGAGGCTTCCTCTTCCTCCTCAGCACAGACCCTGCTTTTGTCAGCTTGTTCGCTCTGCTCTAATTCTGCAGCTGAGATATTAATAAAAGGGACATTTCTCATATAATGGTTACTGACGTACTAAAGGAAAAATAAGTCATGTGTCAATCCAAAATTTAACAATGTGTTTAAAAAAAGACATTCCTCATCCTGGCTGGAGTTAGAGCAAAGTGGTTAGAGCAGCCACAGTGCACCAAAGGGTCTTGTGTTTGATTCCGGGTCAAGGGCACGAACCTCAGTTGCAGGTTCGATCCTTGGCCTTGATTGGGGCGTGTGTGGGAGGCAACCAATCCATGCCTCTCTCACATTGATGTATCTCTCTCTCTCTCTTGCTCCCCCTTTATCCTTCCCTCCTACTCTCTCTAAAAAGCAATGGAAGGATTGGGTAAGGATTAACAAAAACAAAAAAAAGACATTTCTCTGCTTAGCAATGAGGTAACCCGATGCTCAGAGCACGTCTGGAGGCTCTGTGGCTTCGCAGCCCGATGCCCGCACTTCGGGACCCCCTCTCGCTGCTGCCCACACCGACGAAAGCTTCTCCAGCCCCCAGGTCTGCGCCCGGCGGTGGCCTTCCTTACCTCACATCTGAAGGGCTTCTCTCCAGAATGCTGCAAGGAGTGCACCTTGAGTGACATGCTGCGTTTGAACGATTTCCCACAGGTTTCACATGTAAAAGGCATGTCTTTCGTGTGCGCTGCAACACAGAATGCACTTACACTCAAAAGACGTTCACCCAAAAGTTCAAAGTGAAATAGGCAGGTGTCTCACTGTAAGGCCATCACCCACCTCAATTCCCCACACGCTAACATGTGGGGCTCTAACAGCAATGCCCTGAGAGGAAATAGATAGCAATGCCTGAGAAACCTGGGTGCGGAAGATGGACCGTCACTGACATGTTGCATTTAGTTTCAACAAGTCAAAGTGACTAAAGAAAGGCATTGCCTCGGATCCTGCCCCGTATAGAGCACACAACTCACCAAAGAACAAGGGGAATTACAGGTGAGAGAGAAAAGAGGCTGACAGACTTACCAACCATGTGTTTCCTCACATGGGCCATGGTGTAGAATTTCTTCTCACAGATTTCACAGGAGAATTTCTTTTCTGCATATCCATGGACGATCTTGATATGTTCGTGAAGGGACCAGAGTTTCTTGAATGATTTGTTACAGGAAACACACTGAGCAGGAAAACAGAAATAACCTTACTTACAGGGAGGGGCGTGCAGAAAGCCAGACCTGCCTGCTGGCAGATGACGGGGGTGTGCTGGTCCTGGCACAAGCCAGAATCCAAAACACAGGCTGTTCTCCATGCAGTCCCCGTCCGACACCAAATCTGTGTGTTCTATTTTCCAAGAGGCATCATTCAGAGACACTTTGGGAGTATGAAAACAATGGCGAAAAATAAGACAAAAAGAAATGGAAAGTCCCACTAATATAGAATTGACTGATTTTATCAAGTTTGTGTTGTACCTACAAAAAGAACCTGCAAGCTTCTAGAAAAAATATATATCACCAAAAGTGGCTGCCTCCTACACGTGGGTCACTAATAGGTGTTTACCAGAAAATACAAACTAATTTAAAATTAATGTAAATAAAAGAAGAAAAAACAAAATACATGTTAATGATTATAAACCTGCAGAAGTATAACAATGTTTTTGTACCTTAGAGAATGTATTTGGAATTTTCATTAACACAAATGACTGAGATTTTGTTATATTTTTCCAAATCTAATTTGTTCTATTAAACATTTCCCTCTGGCAGAATAAGCTCTAACTTTTCCCCTATAGCCAGATGTCTCATACAAGCACCTATGCAGCGATTTTCAATGGGTGTGCCACAAGAGTTTTTAAAACATGCAACACCTGACTATTTAGTTAGGGGCACTGGGCCCTTAGGTTGTCAAATAAAAAATTACAACAGCCAACACAATAGCCATCTGGTGTGAATGAATAACAATTATGCCTATATTTTTGTTAGATTGGCAAAAAACATATTTGTTGGTGTGCTGCAGAACTTTAGTAATTAGTTTATGTGTGCCATGAGATAAAAAGGTTGAAAATCGCTGACCTGCCGAGACCAGTTTGGCTCAGTGGCTAGAGCGTCGGCCTGCGGACTGAAAGATCCTGGGTTCGATTCCGGTCAAGGGCATGTACCTTGATTGCGGGCACATCCCCAGTGGCCGGTGGTGCAAGAGGCAGCTGATCGATGATTCTCTCTCATCGATGTTTCTAACTCTCTGTCCCTCTCTCTTCCTCTCTGTAAAAAATCAATAAAATATATATATATATATAAAAGAAAATCGCTGACCTATAAGAAACACATGCAACACTGCTTAGCTCCTTGTATCATAGACGATCAGGCGTAAAGTGTATGAAAATAAAGTGCTCTGGTTAAATCAAAACAATACTAGAAAGTTTAGGGAACAATCAGACTCTGAGATGCTTAAGGAAACAACATGGAATTTGCTGTAAGTAAAGATCTCTTAACATCATTGTCACTTCAGGAAACAAAGACTCTGAGAAGGGTTAAAAAGATAAGCCGTTGCCCTAACCAGTTTGGCTCAGTGGATGGAGCCTGCGGACTGATGGGTCTCAGGTTCGATTCCCTTCAAGGGCATGAACCTTGGTTGCGGGCACATCCCCAATGGGGGGTGTGCAGGAGGCAGCTGATCGATGTTTTTCTCTCATTGATGTTTCAAGCTCTCTATCCCCCCCTTCCTCTCTGTAAAGAATCAATAAAATATATTTTAAAAAAGGAAAAGATAAGCCACTGACAAAAACGGCTTGAGGAAAGGACAGACAACTCCTGTAAACATTTTGTAGGACAGGTTTTAATTTTTACTTGTTACTAGGTCGTCATGGTTACTAGGATCCACACTTTAGAACAAAGCAGGGTTCCTGAGGAATGTAAAGCGTTCTCTTAGCAGCACCCAAAAACCTACACGCATGCTTAATTATGGTGAGAATTAGTGAGGAGAGTCACAACAAAGATTAACCAAATATTTTCTTTTCTGTAACTTAATAAATAAATTTAAGTTTAAAAAACTGTGTAAGGTCTTCCAAGTTCAAGATACACCTTTTCAGCAACGAACCACACAGACCTAGTTAGACCCCTAGGGTGCAGCACCGCTTCGCTCATGGCCTGAACCTGCGGCAGTTCATCCCCAGCCACGACTCACTTTCTTTCCTTTACCCAGCATTTGGGAGATTACATCACAACTGATGAGTCAAAAAGCAGTTAAATTATATTTTAGCAAATATAAGTTATATATATATATGTATTCTAATTTTAAAAAAAATTGATTTCAGAGAGAGGAAGAGCGAGGGATAGGAAACATCAATGATGAGAGAATCACTGATTGGCAGCCTCCGATGGGGATAATGCCAGCAACCCTGGCAAGGGCCCTGACCAGAAATCAAATCCTCACCTCCTGGTTCATGGGTCAGCACTCAACCACTGAGCCACACTGGCTGGGCTACACTTTATATATTTAAAACTCTCTTTAAAGTAAAGCAATGATCTCAGTTGTTGATTAAAAGCAAGAGGAAATGTGAAAAATAAGGAGCAATCCAGGAAACAAACCAAACCAAAACAATTGCATCTTTTAAAAGAAATTTAGCTTAAATGTGGTACAAAATAGGTCTGTTTCACATATTTTATGTAGGCATTAATATTATAGGCTTACCTTCATAAGTATTCAATGATATGTATTCACATGAGTTAACCAATATAGCTCAGCACAGCAATATAATTCACTCGACAAAACGTACTTAGCACACTCTTACCCTATCGCCACACAGTCCTCCCAGGACACCAGCCTCGTGCGGGCACCATGCTTTGTTCCCTTAACCACACGGTACAGCAGCGTTACACAGCCTACTGCCAGGCGGGCAGCGTTTGCAACCTGCTCAGCCTGTTTAAAGTTTGCATATTCCCATGGGCTCAGCCTCTTGACAAATTTAGTGTTGTCATCTCTCCACTGTGAAAGCAAACTCACTCCCGGAGATCTTCCATTTCCACGGGTCTGAGTCATTACGGTTTTGTCCCCAGCGGCTGCACTAGCATCTGGCATCCTTTCATGCCCAGAAGGGGACCGCTCTCTATTCCCGCACTTTGCCCATATCTCCCACCTCGACAGAGAAGATGCCAGAATGAACCAGCACACGTCCCACAGCTCTGAATCTCAGTGCAGTCGGCGCTGACCTCACCTACGGGGCAGTCACCTACAACAGATCCCCCTTCCAGCGTACCTGGGTCCCACTAGTCCAGCGCCAGTTAAATGTAACGCTTTTGAAACAAAATGTTAAGCCTGGGTTTGGGAAAGACCAGAGCAGGAGCTTCTAAAGAGCTAACTGGTGGATCTGTCCCTTCAGCCTCTATTGGACTTATTCTCTTGGGCAGAACGGCCAGGCTCTATGCTGCAAAGCGCCCTCTGGATGAGACCTACCTGGATGTTTTTCTCACAGTCTGTTTGCTGGTGGAGGGACAGCTCACTTTCCAGGACAAACTTCTTGCCACACTTATCACAGATCTGCATGCGCCTGTGAGTCACGTTCATGTGCTTCTCCAGGTACCAGCGCGTGTTAAACACCCTGGGGCACTTCTCACAGGTCAGAGTCTCCTTCTCCTCGCACTTGGCCTTCTGGACGGGGGCTCTGGGCTCCTTGGCAGCCCGCTTCTTCCGCTTGGGGGGCTCTGCGCTCTTCCTGCGGCCGCGTGTGGCTCTGGGCGCGGGGGAGGCGGCGGCGGCGGCCACGGCCACGGAGGCGGCTCTCCGCGTCCTCCTCTGTGCGACGCAGGCCTTCTCCGCCGCCTTCTCCTTCTTCTTGTGCCTCGTGTTCTCCCCATAGTCACTGCTGTTGTCGGTGGGCTCCTCCTCGCTCTCGTCGTCCTCGCTGCTTGTCTTAAGAACAGGAGTCTCTTTGGACTGAGAAGAGACACCCTTTTCCCCTTTAGACACATTTAATGTTTGGTTATTAAGGTTTACCTCCACTATGATCTGCTCCCTTTTGTAAGAGACCTCCTCCTCCTCCTCCATGTCGTCAGAATTCTCGCGGTCTTCCTTAACGGCGTGCGCGTCCGGCCCGGCTCTTGTCTCCCTGAAATACGGCTGCTCCTCTGCCTCGTGGAGATGCGGCTTGCTCACCTTGCTGTCCACTAGCACGGAGTAAGGGCTGCCCGACTCCCTCTTGTACACTTTGGTGGACAGGTCGAGTTCCTGGCTGGCACCATGATAGAAGGTCGATGGCACCGGGGCACGCCGGCCGTCTTCCTGTGCCATCCCTGCCACATGCGGGGCACAGCTCTCAACCAGCTCCGCACAGGAGCCGGCTGTGTGGCTCATTGGTAAGTGGCCCAAGTTATGAAGCAGTTCAGACTATAAAGAAACAGCTTTAAAACAGCGTAATTATCAAGACTCAAATCTCTTTCCATCCACAGAGAGGCATTCAAATGAAAAAAGAAAAGAAAAAAGGTATTCCTGGAACCTGCGAGCAATCCTCCCAGTGATGCAGCACCACAGCGAAGTCAGAGGTTTGGTATGACGGCAAGAGCAGGGCCAGTGATTTTTCTTTTGAAGATCAGCTGCAAGCGACTTGGAGCATCTTATCTACAAAGAGAAGCAAGAAGAAAAGAGTCAGATACCACCATTTCCTTTGCATAACATGCACTGACTGGCACACCGCAGCAAACATGGCCTGAAATGACCAAACTCTCTCTCTATACAATTCTTTCTTCTGCTTTTAAATGGTTCAGTGCGGGCTACTACTTTACTGGGTTATATGAATCCAACAAACATTTTGTTAGAAGTATTCTGAGTGAATTCTAAGGTGACAGGAGTCACTGTCCCGGCACTGATACATCCTTAGAGCTGAGCACAATGCCTCGCACCCAGTAGGTGTTCAGTACACACTTGATGACTAAGTGAATAGCTACTCCGCACAGCACTCATATCCGAGATGCTGTGAGGCATACCGATACGGCAAAATCCATCTTCCACAGTGTAGCCTGGCCATATAACTGTGTCCTATGTGGGACACACAGAGCACCCGCTGCTGGCTTTCTTTTCAATACCAGACACCGCTGCCCACCACCACAAGGGCTCACGGACAGAGGGGGAGTGGGCGAGGCACTGCAGACCGAGAAATAAACCCGCTACGTGACATAACTCCAGAAAGAAGGAACATGTCCCCGCTTCACACAACGTAAATCTAGATCCAGATTATTACTATCGGTACTATTGTTTTCAGGCTTATCCGAATAATTTTCAAAGTGGCCAAGTATTTCTAAATGTGGTCTACGCATAGCTCACTACATCCACCCAGTAACGGGGCGATTCTTCACGTGTCAGTTGCAGAAATCTAAATTCTAAGAAACGCTAACCATCAAGTTGATACGGTTCCAAGAAAAATAAAACCATCACTTAAAAAAATAAAAAGATCAGAGAGGCATGTAATTGCTTTGTGACATACCTCACATTGCTGTTAGCCACCCACCTACCCTCTGAGTCACATGGAGTTATGCAAACACAGACCCTGTCTGGTGACAAAGGGAGAAAACGAGGCTTCCCTGAATGCACAGGCAGGTGAGGGTGCCACTGTCTCTTATTTCTATTTACTGACCACTGCATGACTTGGGGCAGATTTTTACATTCTTCTCTCCCATTTTCTTTCTCTGTATGGATTTGTTCTTACTTTCATTTTAGTGGAATCTCAGAAAGGAGTGGTGGTAAATACTACTATATTTTAGTTGTCATCTTCATAGATATATTTACTTTTTTGAATTTATTGAGAAAATTATGCCTTTGAGAGGCTAATTTGTCTAAGATCACATATCTATTCAATGACAAAAGCAGTGTTTGATCCTAGGCCTGCCTGACCCCAAAGTTCATGGTCTATCTCTACTATGACAAGTGACACTCCAAAAAATAACCTAAAATTAATTATTCCTATAATCATATATCTTTTTGCAACAGTTTCACACTTTATATTTTAAGTAGGAAAATCCCAGGAGCTTTATTTTACATGTACCAAAACTTCTAACTCATAGTAATAATGTAAACTACTACAAGTATTATTATATAAACTTATATTAATGATCTCAAATTAAGCAAGGGAGGAGAAACAATAAAATTGATCTAGCCACCAAAGCTAAGAGTTAAATAAAAGTCAGGAAGACAAAAAATGAAGGGAGGGAGGGAGGAAGGGAGGAAGGAAGGAGGAGGGAAGAAAGGAGAAAGAAAGAGGAAGGAAAGGAGGGAGGGAGGGAGGGAACGCTCTGTGGTAGGCCATTAATACTTTCTTCCCAAATATGTCTGGGCACCTGGCAGGACTGCACTTTCCAGCCCTGCCTCCCTGTGGCACCTCAGGAGAAGATGTGACACAGAAGGCCAGGGCATTTTCTAACCAAGACGAGCCTTCAGACCTCTTCCCTCTGCCACAGGACCAGCCATCTTCAAGGTGATGACTGCCATCTTTGCTATCAACCGGGGTCCCTGAGGGACTACAAGGACTTACAGGATATATGCACAGGGCAGTGGGTTTTTTGTTTTTTTTTTTAATTTACTTTTACACGGGGTGTGTTTTTAAAGCCATTGGGATTTAGTATTGTTTATGCCGACGGCATTATCTGATCTACCCCAGTTTATACAAGTGGAATCTGGAAGTGGGGTGCTCCTTCATCACAATATCCAAAATATACAAAAAAGGTTTAGGAAGCTGGCAGCAGGAGGCAAGGAAAATGCTACTGGAGGCTAAAAGGATAGCAATTCATATGATGCAGTGCTGAAACTACTGGTGAAACTCACCTCATTACCTCATGAGACAGATAACATGCCACAGAGCTGAGAGCTCTAGTGGGGAAATGGATGATGGGACTATTAAGAGAGTGCTAGTTACTGTTGACTGTATTTGAGATATTACTTCATGCAAAGGGTAAATTTACATTTCCATATCTATAATAAAAGCATAATATGCTAATTAGACCAGACAGCATATTAAATATTGTGTATTTTTAAATAGTGAACATTCCAGATGTCCTTCTGGGTGAAGCCACAGCAGTGGGAAGGCAGAGGCGATTAGGGGTGATCAGGCAGGCAGGTAGAGTGGTTAGGGGAGATCAGGCAGGCAGGTGAGTGGTTAGGGGTGATCAGGCAGGCAGGAAGAGTGGTTGGGGCGATCAGGCAGGCAGGCAGAGTGGTTGGGGCGATCAGGCAGGCAGGCAGAGGCAGTTAGGGGTGATGAGGCAGGAAGGTGAGCAGTTAGGGGTGATGAGGCAGGCAGGTGCGTAGTTAGGGGTGATTAGGCAGGCAGAGGGGTCAGAGATGATGAGGTAGGCAGGCAGGAGAGTGATTAGGAGCCAGCAGTCCTGGATTGCGAGAGGGATGTCCGACTACAGGTTTAGGCCATATCCCATAGGGATTCCTATAGGATCAGGCCTAAACCAGCAGTCGGATATCCCCCAAAGGGTCTCAGATTGGGTGTGGCTGGGCAGAGGGGATCCCTACCCCCCATGCACAAATTTTGTGCATCGAGCCTCTAATAAGACAATAAAAACCAATGTGCATTACTCATCACATAGTTGCAAAGCTACCGATAACCCCCTAGCGCCAAACAAGAAATCAAGTACTACGGAGGCTACACTTCAGGACCGGATGATCACATGTGTATTTAAAACATCTTTCCATTGTTCAATTCCATTCACAAGCACTATCGACAGGAGAATATAATCTCACCAAAGGGGTTTTTTATTTTTACTTTTTAAAAATGTTTTTATTGATATGAGAGAGGAAGGCAGAGAGAGAAACATTAGTTGTCTGCCTCCTACACTCCCCTTACTGGGGATTGAACCCACAACCAGGGCATGTGCCATGATAATCAAACCACAGACCACTGGTGCATGCGCTCAACCAACTAAGCCACACAGGCCAAGGCAACAAAGGAATTATTTTTAAAAGAGGGGTAAGAGCTTCATATTACTGTTAGCTTTTCCCTTAAAATCCGACCAAGTCCTGGCTACATGAATGCGCAAATAAAACCAAGTGCCCTAAAAGCAACCAGGAGAACATACCCACAATACACACCATCTTGGAAGGTCTCAGGTTAGCCTGACCAAATTTTGTTTTATGGAACCCAATTATTTTAATGCACTAGTCCATTTTCAAAATGCTATCAAGGTGAGTACCTTGATAATTATTAACTGAAATCCTGCCTCTTAGCTTTATTAAGAGACTTAAAAGGCCTTGTGAATCTTCCTTTTTCTCAAACCCCTATAAGTAACACCTTAGGACGGAATGGAGATATATTCAGCAGGAGGTTCACGCTGTGGCTACCTATAATGTAAGCCATTATGAGAGGCCTACGTACGTGTCAATTTGACTTAGATCGCTGTGAACTTGAATTAAAAACTCATTAAGAAAATGAAAATAAGTGGAATGCCCTTATTACATTCCTGTATTTTATAAAAATTAAAATCATAAATATTTTAGATGCATGAAAATCATCAGAAAATTATGGAATTTAATGTATATACTTGACCTGCCAAAAGAAATATTATTTTTTCATTAACAAAATTTTTTTGACACTTCAAAACATAACACTTGGAAAAGAAGCTTAAATGAACTAATCTTAAACCGAGGAGTATATATAAATAGTCTAAGATGGGAAGGTTTTAACCCAAACCATGACATACCCAAAACACGGCCAATGGAAAAAGACAAACAGCTAATATATCACCTGCCTTTTCCTTCCCATAAGTCTATGTGTTCCTCTCCTTAGCAGCACTCTTAAACTTTGGAGAATCTTTAGAAAAATACAAATCTTCTCTTCCATAAAAATGAACACACAAAATTTTGCATATCAATGAGTCTGCCCATTTCCAGAACCCATCTGTGGATCTCCTAGGGGTCCAAAACCTCTAATCTAAGAACTCCTGTTAAAGAGCAGATTTAACTTTTCCATATTTAAAATGTACATTTAGATTATGTTTATAAATTTTTCTCCCTACCCCTTTCCTTCTAATCGCTCCAGCATAACTATGGACATTAATGAATTAAGTGAAAAAACTTTAAGTGTAGAAATAAGAGATCTTAGTATGAACCCCAATATGCCACTTCTACCAGATACATCACCTTGGACAAGCCAATTAATCTTACTCAATTTCAACGTGTTCCTTGTAAAGCTAGAACAACAATACCACACCTATTTAATGTGATGACACAGGCAAAGTTCCCAGTACATGTGGATTTCAGTACTGGCTCCTTTCTCATTTCCATTTGAGAAGATCTTTCTTTTTTAAAATATATTTTTATTGATTTCAGAGAGAGGGAGAGAGAGAAACATCAATGAT